GGAACGAGACTGTCTACCGGGAGGCTCGAATGGGAATGGAGGTAATGGACCTCCGCAGGATCCAGCAAGTGGGGCTACACACTTGAGCTACAAGGGGGCGATTGACAATGGTTTCAACAGAGCCAAGTATGGTGATAAAGGGAATCAAGGGGAGAAGCAGAAAGGTAAGAGACCGGTGTCAGAGTCTCGAGAAAGCTCTGATAGAAATGGCATATCCCGGGATGAACAAGGCTATCGATACTAGGCCAATAACCGGGCAGTTGGCGATGTCAGAAGGCAGTACCGAGCTCAGCCTCATGGTTGTCGACGCGGTCAGCAGTAACGTCATAAAGCGGTAATTTCCAACACAAAGATTGGTCAATGTTCTGAGATTAAGGTACAACCCTCCAACCGAGGCGATGGGACGGTTCTGGATGTGACCGGATTGGAGGTTCGTAATGAACTTTCTCATGAACCTGCGTTGGAGTATGGGAAAAATGTACGCAAGGCTCTGTTTCAAGAGCTGAAAGAGACAACAGAGGAGCAAAAGGGACTTGGGATCATGGACGGTCTGGTACCGGCTACGGAGGTCAACGGTGCGAGTAGTGAGGACATGATATTGGATCCAATGGTGACCGAATCTAACCAGCTTTCTGAAGCACTCGAGAGCAAGGTCTCGGATACAGATGAAGTAAGACAGGAAGTTGACTTACAAGTTCAGATAGAGGAGAGTGGAAATGAGGGTAAGGGTTCAGTGCTGATGATTAAGGAGAGTGCAACAACTAAGAATCATGTCGAACAGGTTGACACGGAGAAGCCAGTAGTGGCTGCGACGAGGAAGAAAATCGGTAAAGGGACTGTTATGCTTAAAGGGGTGAGCTCTAAGAAGCGTTTGGTGCAAGCTCTAGCTTCCCCTCGGAAGAGATTGGGAAATCTAAGCATTATGCAAATAGAAGATGGACTGAACCCGGCAAAACCGAGGAAGGATTCGGGCCATAAGGAAGAGAAGCTCCCACCAAAACCAGACGTTATTTA